CGGGTGGCTGGGTGCTCACCATGCCTGCAGAAGCCTCGGTCGTACCAGGGACAGCCGGTGGCACGGGCCATCGCATCAATGTGCAGGAAGGGACATTCCTTATTGCTGCACTCGCCTGCGAGAGCAATGGGTTTGGGACAACGCTCGCCTGAGTCAAACGTGACAGAAAGCGCTCAAAGAGGCATTTTGAGCCATTTTTGAAATTGGGGTGCTGCTCCATCCTGCCAGGGAGCGCGCAGGCAGGGTTCCGACCCTGCTGCCTTGGGGAGGACAGACTCGCCACGGGGCTCAGCCGGGAAAACCGTGGCCCCAGGCAGACGCCCGTGGCATTTCTTCCCGCAGACAGGAGGTGGCATCAGGCGATTGCTTGAGCCCAGACCCAAGGGGCATGGCAGTGGGACAGGGCCCCTGGGCTGGGGGGTCTCTGGCCCAGCTCCTGCACCTACCAAACTTGGAGTAGAAGTAGCACTCGGGCATCTTGGTCACGTCGTACTCGTGCAGGAAGTCACACTGGTCACCCTTCTTGCACAGCCCCCGGAGCCAGTGCTTGCACACCACCGTCTTCTCCCCAGTGACGTGCCGGAAGGGGCACAGCAGGCCTGGCCGCGGCGCAGACCCGGCGTCAGGGCTGGCCCTGCCCCTGCATCGCTTCCCGCTCCAGCCACGTGCTTCTGCACCCACCACCGCGGTCCCTCCAGCAGCCGGGACATTCCCCTCTGCACAGGGCTCAGGCCCCCCAAAAACCCCCACCCCAGGGTCCCCAGCTGCCCACAGTGCACAGGGCATTGCTCTAGGCAGTACCAGCCTCCTATCGTGTCACACGTGTCCCTTGGGCCCTCCCCAGCTGCAACAGGGATCAGAGCGCTGGTCCCCAGGGACTCTGGCATCTGGGAGATGTCCAGGCTATTTTAGCCTTTTGCACCGAAGCCCACCAACCCACAACCAGTTCATAGGGCTGCTGAGCAAGCAGTGACATATGCAAGTAGGTTGTGGGGCAGAGAGGGGCCCCAATGTCCCCAGGATCCTGCACGGCAGTGCTGCTCCCGTCCCAGGCACTCACCCTTGGAGCAGAGCCCTCGGCGGAAGAACTCGCAGACGGCCGCCCCCAGCTCTGCGGGTGGAAGCAGAGCAGGGAGAGCTTTGTGGGGGACCAGCACGGGCAGGGGGCCTCGCCAGCAGCCCCGAGCATCCCACCTGGCACCGGCCTGAGGGATGCAGCACGGGACAGCACTGGGAGCAGAGACCAGGGGGCACAGGGCCTGCAGGAGCTGGGGGCAGCAGTGGGAAGATGCCTCCAGGCACCCCGCTATGCCCTCCCCACCCACCAGCCCTCAAGGACAGTGACAGGAGGTGCAGGGCCCTGTCCCCAACTTACTGTCCATACCCGGGAAGGGCAGGAGCCGGGCTCCTCTCTGCTGCTCCACATCAGCCTCCAAGTCAAACCTGATCTTCTCCACTCCACCCACCCGCTCCTGCCTTG